AAAAGCAAAGCCCACTTGCCAGAGAGTCACACTTCATGTACAGCTAAGGTTCTGTCAGAGAAATTGCCCAAATTGGAAAGGCCGTCATGCCTGTGTGGTTGTTTCTGTTCTTTGTGAGCTTCAGCAAAGTCTCTTAATCTCTCTGACCTTCAGTTGCTTTCCTTACAGAGTGAGGGGATGGATGGAGTCATAGCTTAGGACTCTAGGTTGAAACCATTTCTGGGATCCAACTATTCTTGTCCGATTATGTTTAGAATCAGCCTTTGCCAAATTTCAGTTTTCCGGTCACTCTTTTCATGGCTTTTGTCTTTTCCTGGTATCCTCTGTGCTCTCAATACTTTTATTTAGCCCAATTCACTTTTTAAAGTTATATTTATTGGAAAAAGAAGCCTTACATAATTACGTTAAATGCAAAACTTGCCATGAATAGAAGATAAGCACAAAAGTAAATAGCATGGGAACCAAACAGCATCATTAGATTGTAGCTTGATGCAGGTTTCTGCTGCGTGTTCTGAGCCCACGGCCTGCTCTCTTTAATGCAGACATGAAGACACACGAGTGCCCAACCAAGATTTTCTCTTCGACATAATCCAAAGGGCCGAAGTACAGTATGAGTTTCTGATTTGAGATTCAAAACTGAAAGTGCCTTATATTCCTTGAGAGTCCCTGATGTTGGGGTAAACCCTATTTCACGTATCAGGAAGTTAATATAGTTAATGCTCTGGATGTAAAGATGGGAAGAGACTATGTGAGCTCAGTGCTGTGCCAGTTACCCTTCTAAGCAATTTATGCACGTTGATGCCATTTAATCTTCACCATGACACTATGGAGGTGATTACTGTTCATACTCTCATTTTACAGATGGGGAAACTGAGGCTTCTGAGTGTTTTTTTTTTTTTCTTTTAATTGTGATTTGGGTGAAAATTTACAGAGCAAATTCACTTTCCATACAGCAGTTCACATACACTTTGTCTCATGACATTGACTACAGTTTAACTCAATGCAACATCTCCCCTCCCACTTCCTCCCAATAGTTACCTCTTCCCTGTGTCCATCCTCCATGCACTCCTGCTCCCTGAGCTGTCTCCCTGTGCATAAGCAGCCCTTCTTTCTCACATGATTGTTCTCTCCAAGGAGTGTATCTACTTGAGGTAAATGTTCAACTCCTATGCCTGTCTTTTGTTTGGCTGGAAGCCACAGATGTGGGTTCAATTCCAGACCTGAAGGGCAGCTAGGGACCATAGTCTCAGTGGTTCCACCAGACTCTATCAGACCAATAACCTGGTCCCCCCCCCCATATGATTTTGAGTTTTGTTCCACATAATTCTCCCTCTCTATCCAGGATCTCCTACATAGATCCCCCCACAAGTGGTTGACATAGGTAGCCGGGCACCATCTAGTTCTTCTTGTCTCATAGTCATATAGGCTGCGGATCACATGGTATACCAGTCGCTAGGACTAATTGTTTCCATGAATCTTTGGTTTTCTCCATTCTTCTTTGTTTTGGATGAGGAGACACCCATCATTGCATCTAAATGGCTGCTTGCAAGCTTTTAAGATCCCAGTCACTACTGAGTAGTTTTTGTAACCAGTGGTCATTCCTACTAATATTGTCAATAGGTCCATATAAGCTCCAGTGGTATTAAATCTTAGAGCTGAAATCCCAGTTTGAAGGGTTCAAGGTTTGAGAACTCTGTGTGTGTGTGTGTGTTGATTAATCTTGCTTTTCTGTTGAAGTGCCAAGAACAGGGACTAATCTAGATTTCTATTAATCATGTGTCAATGGCAATGACAGCTTTACTGGGTGAGGCTGATAAGCATCAGTCTGTGAGGATGGGAGTAGGCTGTAATATAAACACACTTCTCCAGGATGGCTGCAAAGAAAACAAGAATGCCCAGACTTGGAGCACACTGCTGTGAGAACTCCCAGTGTGAGGGTGTGCATGCAGGGCCTCACACACACGTGTATTTGGAAGCTCTTGTGGTGCCCCGCATGCCACAGATGCTGCTGGGCAGTAGGGGATGTATTTTCCCCAAGACACACGCTGTGCTGTGTCAGCTCTGCCTTTGCTGCAGCCAGAGAGAGGATGACGACCTGGCTGGACGTTTCAGCGCTCGAGCCATCTATTCTTCTTCTGATTGACGGGGCACACGTCATAAAACTTCCACCCAGCTTCCTGCAAGCCAGTCAGAGGCCTTGATAAGAAAGTGGAATTCAGGACAATTAAGTGCAATGTAAGCCCTGAGAATGCATTTTGGAGGGCAGTTGTACACCAACTGCTTCCGATGACATTCCATGCATTCAGGGATGACTCTTAACAAAATAGGCTTGTTCTGGGGGCTGTGCTCAAATCGGAGCCCTGGTGGTGTGCGGCTGGGCTGCTCGTGAGGCATGTGAGTCGCCCAGCCTATTTATAAGCCTCAAATGGAAATCAGCTCTGGGGATGGCGAAAACCTGCAGTGGCTTGGTTAGTGAGGCTGACTCAGGCTTGTGAAGCATTCAGATTCCCCAGAGGCAGTGTGTATGGTGGTTTGGGGTGGCTGAGACACTGGGGTTTACATTGCCACTTAGTGGTTAGGTGAGTGACCTGATCTCCCTAGACCTCAGTTTCTTCATCTATTAAATGGGGTATTTCCTAAGGCATTAGACTGCTAATCAGAAGGCTGGTGGTTCAAACCCACCAGCCACTCCTCAGAAGGAAGGTTCTGCAATCTACTTCCGTACTTATACTGCCTCAAAAATCCAAGGAGGGGTCATTATGAGTTGGATCTGACTCGATAGCAGTGTGTTTGTATGTGTGTGGTAGGATTAGAAGATGTAACATGCTTAGAAGAACTCCTAATAATGAGAAAGTGTGCAATAAGTGGTAACTAAATTTATTGATGTTGTTACTATTATTACTAGGCATTATCTGTTCATTTTGAGTTTTTCAAAATATAAGCCCTGTTCCAGTGACAGGTGTTTCTTGGGAACAGTTGCTCATCAGTAGATGACACGGAGATGAGAAAGATACAGAACCTGCCTCAGGTTACTCACAGTCCAGTAGGGAAGGAGAATACACATACACACGATGCATACACACACACACACACACACACACATTTATATATGGATACCAAAAAACCCACCAAGCAGGCAAGTATGGTAGGTAAGATTATGTGTCAACTTGGCTGGGCCTGGTTTTGAGTGGCTGGGCAGCTAGATGTAGTTATTCCCCGTAATGAGACTGGTAATCACCTCCGTGGTGGAATCTGCCATAAGCAGCTGAGTCACTGCTTAGGGATGTGGTCTGCTTCCAGTATATAAGGAGAAGCTTTGGGAATGGTCTGCAGCTTTGTGGCACGCTTGGATCCTGCATGTAGCCGAGTCTTCATTTAACAGCCTGCCGTATTTCCTGCCGATCTTGAGACTGTTTCTGGACTTGAACTAGTGTCCTCCCTTCTTGTTTGGTAATATTGGGACTGTGCCATGCCATTTTATTTGTCAACCTTGGGCTTGTTAGCCTCAGCAGCCAGCAGCTGCCTGAGTGAAGAGACACCTCCAGCTCCAGTGGGCTGGGAGCAAGAGTCATAGCTGAAGCCTAAGGCTTAAGGGCTTTCACCCAGCCCCTAGAGCTTGGCACTTTGAACTTGGACTTCTAGCCTCCATGACTGTAAGAGAATAAACTGTTTGTTCAAGCCATCCACCTGTGGTAATTCTGTCGGAGCAGCATGAGGTAACCAAAACAACAAATGATGCCAATTCATAATGACCTTGCATGTGTCAGAGTAGAACCGACTCCACAGGGTTTCCAATGGCTGTGATCTTTCAGAAGTAGGTCTCCAAGCCTTTCTTGTAAGGTGCCTCTGGGTGATTAAAATCGCCAACCTTTTGGTTGGTCGCCAAGTGCTTGACCGTTTGTGTCACTTGGTGACACCTTATGCATACATACATACTTCCGTAGCCATATGTTGTTTTTGTTAAGTGTCATTGGGTGTACTGTCACTCATGGCAGCCTTACATATAACAGAACGAAACACTGTCTGATCCTGCACCATCTTCGGGACCGTTGGTATGTCTGAGTCCATGGTTGGTTCTGCTGTGTGAATCCATCTCACTGACGGTATATGTTACGTATAAAGTAGCAAACAGGGAACAGTACTGCCAGGAAGATAATACATAAAACACTTCTGAGAGACCAAAAGAGAAGAGAATGTCCAAGGGATATGAAACCCAGCAGAAAGAAGCAAAGTTAGGTAAAACATTGATAAAAAACTTGAAGGTTGTGAAGCACTTTTGCACACATGGTCTTATCTTGTTTGATCTTTCTTTCTTATTGTATTATCACAATAATCATATGAGCTAGAACAAGGCTGGGATCATGGATTCCAGAGAGGGAACATGGATGGGTAAACTGAGGCTTGGAGTAGCTAATTGACTTACTGAAAGTCACACACACAAGTAGCAGAGTTTGGGCTGAAATATGATAACTCAAAGCCTAGTGCTTGGAGTCTGTTTTATCTAGGGTCATAAGGCAGGCAAAATACAGTTCCAATCAGAGTGCGAGTGGCTAAAAAGGTGGTGCCCAAGTGTGATACACACAACTTCGTAGATACAAGGTGATTATAGGTAGCAAACAGTCAAGTTTAAATTAATAGTTGCACACTTGAATGTTCATCAGAAACATCAAGACCATGATTTTGTGGGTATCATTTCTCAGGTGGGTTTACATTGAAGTTAAGTTAGAGAGCCCATTGGAGGAGTAATGTTAAGTAAGAAAGAGAGCATGGAGTATGCAGCTCAGGCCTGGTGGGGTGTCAAGGACTGCAGTTGGGAAGCACTGGCCTGGCTGGGATGAATGGTCCTTTATAAGGGCTGAGGACTGGAGAGACCATGGTGACCCAGGGCACAGACCAGCAGGCGCCCCTTAAGTGCTGTGGACTGTGTGGTAGGGGTTGATCCAATGCAGACAGTGACTGGAGCACTAACAAGCGTCCTTGGATCTGACGTCTCTTTGTAGATTGCTGACTTTGGGCTTTCCAACCTGTATCAGAAGGACAAGTTCTTGCAAACGTTTTGCGGGAGCCCACTCTACGCATCTCCTGAAATTGTCAATGGGAGGCCCTACCGAGGGCCAGAGGTGAGCAGGTTGTCTGGTGTATATACGTATGTGTGAGTGTGTGTAGGAGGGAGTTGGAGGGAGGGAGAGAGAAAATTTCTTGGATCCAGGAAATAATTAAAAAACAAAATCTAAGACTGTTGCCCTGAGATCATCTTTGAACCTTCAACCTCGACCCAAAACTTTTCCTGGAAGTCAGCTTTGAACCAAATAACACTTTAGCCTAATAAGTAAAGTGCCTCTGCCTTGAGCACTGCGCACTCTACGTGGGATCAAACTGACAGCAGCACCTTGAAAGGTTAGATGAAAATCGTCGGGGGCGGTGACTTTATGTTAATGGTGGTGGAATAATTTGGAAAGGGATAGCGAGAACAGCTGTACAACTTGAAGAATGTAAACTGAGTGGAACGAGTAGAATTTGTTGGAACTGTGTATTCTTTGTTGCATATATTTCCACAAAAATAAAATAAAAATTTAAAATACCTAAAAATGCAAGCAAGCAAAGAAAATCTTTGCTTATATGATTATAAAAACAATACATTCACAGGCAAGAAAATTTGGAAAAGCCAGAAAAGCTTAAAGGAGAAAACAAAAATTACTTGCACTCCCTGTAAGAGAGGGCTGCTTTGAACATTTCTGTGACTTTTCTTTTAGACTTTTTTCGGTGTCGATTGCTGTGTTTAATAATAAATGAGATCATTCCACACATGTGCATGCACAAACACACACACACTTTTTTTTATTTTGTGACTATTTTTTAATTTTTATTGTGATTTGGGTGGAAGTTTACAGAGCCAATTCATTTTCCAGACAGTAGTTCATGGACATTTTGTTTCATGACATGGACTGCAGTTCCCCACAGTGTAACAGCTCTCTTCCCACTTCCTCTCTGTACTTACCTCTTCCCTGTGTCCTTCCCTCTGATGGACTCCTGCCTCCCACCCCAGCTGTCTCCCTGTGCATGCGCTGCCCTTCTATTCTCCCATGATTGATCACTCCAAGGAGTGTATCTCCCTGATGTAGATGCTCACCCTATATGTCTGTTGTTTGGCTGGAAGCCACAGGAGTGAGTTCAGTTCCAGACCTGAAGGGTAATTAGGGGCCATAGTCTCAGGTGGTCTTACCAGGCTCAATCAGACCAGCAAACCTGGTCTTTTTTTTTTGATTTTGAGTCTTGTCACACACACACTTTTATGAATTCATTGTTATTTTCAAAAAACTTGATTTTTAATGACTACATAACATTTTATTGTATGAATGTACCATAATTTATTTCATCATTCCACATATTTGGACATTCAGGTTATCTTTTAGTTTTTCCCTATTATAGCAAAACAGACCCCATTTGATAGATGTGAATATATATATACACAAAAACAAAAAACACCCTAAAAGTTCCGTGAATGTCTTTTTGCATCTGTCTTTTGACAACATGTAATGACTAAGGAAATATATTTTAATTACATCTTCTAATTCATAAGGCATGTATTTCTCTAATGTCTAAAGGTCTCAGGGCCACAGCAAGATATGTGTATGTGAAAATACTATTTTGAAAATGGGCGAGTTGTGGAGTGGTAGTTTTCAAATAGTGGTTCATCACTTCCCTAGCAGCTGCTCCGTGTGTTGAAATGTTTCCTACAAATATTTATCTGTTTGAGAGTGTTTTGGGGCGGGGCTGGAGGATAAAGAGAAGACTGTCAAGAGACTCTGCGCATCACAAGGAAAGAAAGGGTTTCTAAAATTAGAATGTAAGGGAGGAACATAGGATTGAATTGGCAAAATTGTAGAGACTTGACTTGGTAAATTTCTGGCCAATAATGACTGCTTCTTTGATCATTGATGATCTGTTTCCAAAGTTACACACTGACGGCTCTTGATCTGGCTAGCAAGCATGTTTTATTTGGCCACATTTTTCTTTTAAAACAAGCAAACATTTAATAACTAGGAGATTTTACATAAATATCTGGTTTCTGACTTCTCTTGGAAAACTGAAGGATCTGCTCGTGTGGGGTTCCCATTGCTTGGCAGCAACTAGCCACGAAGAGGCTGCCTCCTTAAGATGACTGAACAAACTCTACCGTTTGTTTCTGTCCCCGACACTCCAGGTTGTACCCTGAATTCTGTCTTGCTTTGTTCACATTCACTATGTGCATGGCCCTTATAAGAATTTGAATTTGCAACCCACGGTCCATGTCAAGAAGGTACAAAATGGAGTTGACTCCATGGTGTAATAGAAAGATTAGAAGTGAAGAGCCCAAGTCCCAGATTCGCCTCCCTCATTGGAGCAGGGCTTCTGGGGAAAACATTTTGCTTCCTTGTGCCTCAGTATTCACATCTATCAAATGGGGTTGAAAATAACTGAAGTGCTACCTGCTTCAGAAAAGTATTGGGGGAAAAAAAAAAAACCTCACTGCTGTTGAGTCGATTCTGATTCATAGTGACTCTAGGACAGAGTAGAACTGCCCAAAAGGGTTTCCAAGGAAGCAGACTGCCACATCTTCCTCTCACACAAAAGTAAAGGGGGGTTCAAACAAGATAAGAATGTTCTCAGACAGACTGGGACTGTTGGTCTCAGTTCCAGACAGCAGGGTCAGGTTTTGCAGCAGCAGGTGTGGGACCTGTCTGCCAGGTGCTCAATTCAGCTCCTGGGGTCGTCGGGGGTGGCTGCTCATGGGTGATGTTAGTGGTTTGGAAGTTGTCCCAGGAATCTGTTTCTTGAGCTTCTGCATGTCCCGTCTCTCTGCTCCAGGTGGACAGCTGGGCCCTGGGTGTGTTGCTGTACACTCTCGTCTATGGAACGATGCCCTTTGACGGTTTCGATCACAAAAACCTCATTCGGCAGATCAGTAGCGGGGAGTACCGGGAGCCCACACAGCCCTCAGGTGCGTACCATGGGTCAGAGGTTGAGGCGAGACTGGTCAGCTAACCTGCCCTGACTCACACTTTCTGCTTTTGTTTTTTATACACCAGTAGGGACTCTACATCATTTTATACATCAGTAGGGAGCAAGGTAAGCACAGGCGTAGCACAGAGTAGCAGGCCGGAAGAGCAGGAGGAAGGGGTGGAACCCAGGAAGCCAAAGAGAAGAGTGTTCA